AGAGCTCATTCCTCTATTAAAGGTGAAGCTTCTTACCCTGTGCCTCCAGGAGCTCAGGATGCTCAGTGGGCATAGGGGTGCCTATGTCTCTCCAGAGAGATGTTTCTGTTGTTGGTTGGAACATAAGCAGATGCTCTTATCCAACTAGCAGCATAGCGTTCTATGTTACCATAAGACTCAAATATAAGGAAAAGAGCATTTGCTGAGATAATACATATGTTCAAACAGAAAAAATCAATTTTAATATTTTTAATTTTAAATTAGCGATCTGTTAAAAAACCAGTTCTTGCAAGTGATGGTGGTTTCATTTTGAGCTGAGCTCAGGTCCTGAAACTGTGAGTTTCTTCTGCTCCCAGATGCTTATGTGAGATAGGTTTAGGTTATCACTCCTATTGAATGTAATACATGAATTAGTAGGCTATCAGTGGTGTTGGGGATACAGAGTTTAGCCTTGCTTCCTCACCTAACAACCACCTGCCTGATGGAATTCAGACCCCATAATCTGAAGTCCCAAGAGGTCTGAGAGTTAGAAGTAGTGTTTGCTTTGTTTGTTTTCTCTCTGTTGTCACTTTTTCTTAAGCACCTATCAGAGTGTACTTACAAGAGAAAAACTACTTTAAAATATGATAATTGTGATTTTACACAATATATGTGGATTTTGATACTAACCCTTAAAGAAAGGCAAGAAAAAGGACTTGGTATTTAAAAAGAGTTTGGACAGGAACAGAAAATTAAATCCTCCACAAAACTTGATATTTTGAAAAAAGATGTTATTGACTAGTTTGGACAGGAATAGGAAACCAAATTCCTCTTGCAGGCAAGCTGTGGTCAGTCCCTCATGGAACTTTGCCACATTTTAATAGGAGAAAGCACCAGAAACTGGAATGCTGCATTTGGCCAGGCTATCTTGACTATTGGAGTCATGGTTTTCTGTTTTATTTAATGTTGCTATGTGTCAGCATTTTAAAGGACATCCCATACTTAATGGTGTTTTCCACCACAATTATTCAGTGCATTGTTTTCATCATTCTGTGTACAAATTCCAGGAGTAAGAAAGAAGAGAGGAGTTAAACCACAAATATTCTCTGGGTAGCCAAACACTTTGACTACCTTACCCATGGGTTGAAGGTTGAGTAACATTTGTGTAGCAGAACTAAGAAGGGGCCAATAGACCAGATCTAGTGGACCCTGAAATTGGCCTGTCTGTAAATATGTAGGGTGGAGTGTTAGGGGGAGATATTTATGAACTGAGTAGAGCACATTTGGATTAAAAATAGCCTGTTGTGTCAAAATTCAGTTCTGTTCAAGAGATGCAGCTATAGATGGTGAGAAGCCTATTGTCCAGGATATCATGGCAGAACTTTCAGGTGACAGGGTTGGGGTGTACTCTGGGCTCTGGTTTTGTGCTAAGACCCAACTGAGTTCATTCGTAAGTTCATTCTCAAGAATACTTATCAGGGAAACCATATATATGCCACATATATGTGGCAGAAATATGGCTTCTCCCATTTTAAAGATGAATATGTTTCTGTTAAGATCCCTGCCCATATTTATAGTGTGGGCACTGTGCTAGCAGAATCATCTCTCATTTCTCAACTCTAGGAGTTGACAGTCTAAGATGTCAGACTTCTATAAGGGAGTAGGATTTCAGAATTAAAATCTGAAATCAATAGAAACTTTTAAGGGAGTGTTTGAAAAATGTGCAGGGCATTCAAAGAACAGAGGTAGACTCATAGTGGTGTTGAGTGATCAGTCAGGCATGCATAGTTGTGGTGAGAACCAAGGACAAGAGGACTGAAAGTTCCAAGTCTAGACAGGGTGGAGTGAAGAAAAGCAGTTAACATCAGAGTTGGGAAATGTATTGTCATAAACATTGTATTTACGGGATGTCAAGTGAGGTTGGTAGTACTTCAGGGATAGCAGTACTGGGTTAGTATATGTGTATAGTCTCCATTGTATTTCATAAGCTTTAACAAACTACAAACACTCGTTTGTATCCACCTTGCACATGGGGGCATTTGAGTCAGCCAGCATCCAATGAAACACCTTCAAAGCTCTAAGCTGATTTGGTAGACCCCACTCTGATTTTCATCATTTACTCCATTTTATCATTTGGACCCTGCATTGTTAGGTAAATTAGTGTTCTGTCTTCAAGTAAGTGTAAGAGAAAATACTGAACATGAGTTACTTTTCTGTTAGCTTGTTTGCTTAGAAACCAGTCTGATGTCTGCAGAAGTCAAGTGTTTGAAGACATGTTCACATTTCCATGGATGCATGTATCGATACCAACATGTTTGGGGGGTATCAGACTATTTTCCATCCATTGCTTCCCTATTTCCAGAGGGAACAGGTATTGCATATCTTTGATGTGTCTCATAAGGAAGCATGAACTGGCATGAAAGGTAAACCCCAATGATTGGTTTTTCCTTCACCTTCAACAATATTTAAGAACAAGAAAATCTGAGTTCTAATAATCTCCTCAGGGAACTAAATAATAGTATATAGCAGGATGGTATAAAAGGTGAGTCTGAGATGGGTCCCATTTGTATATTTATTTTAAATATGGAGAACTAGTTGCACAAATGAAGTCTTTCCCACAAGTTCACCAGGTGAAATGTGAGAGAGAGCCACACAGAGTTCAACTATAGGCCCTTCATTCTTGAGATTTTTGACTCAGGCCCTAACACACCAGGATCTATTAGGAGCTAGAGGGATACACATGATAATAGGTAAAAACAGGCAATAATCACTGTCCTCATGGAAGTCTCATTTTTACAGGTGAGGAAACATACAAATAACCTTAAGTGCTAGCCTAAACTGGGTGCTTTCTTTCTGCCAAGAACTTTCCAGTGCTGTTTTACATGTAGTAACCCATATATTTCATATGAGAACTTTGTGATATGGGAACTGTTATTACCTGAGTTTTTTAGGAGACAAACTGAGACAGAAAGGAATTAAGAAATTGGGCCTCAGGGGTCTCCCCGTTGGCGCAGCAGTTGAGTGCTGGGCTCGAGGCTGCCTGCAGCCTCTGCAGTGCCCGTTCTATCCCTGGCCGCCAGCAAGGGTCCCACATGGCGCGACAGACCTCTCCTGTCACGCCCACTGCTCCCCTCAGCAGTGTATTTCATCTATCTGACTGTTCTGTTCCCTGCTCTGGCTCTGATGGATTCTCTCAACCTCCCGCGCTTCTGACTGTACCCAGTGCTTGTATAAATAAAATAAAATCTTAAAAAAAAAAAAGAAAAAAGAAATTGGGTCTCCCTGGTGGCGCAGGGGTTAAGACGCAACCTGTGAAGCAGTCCATAGCCACTGCAGCACGAGTTCTGTCCCTGGCCAGGGAAGGGACCCACATGGCGCAGCAGCCCTCTCCTGACTAGCCCGCTGCTCCCTTCAGTGGTCTACTTCAGTCAATCTGACTGTTCTGTTCCCCACTCTGTCTCTGGTGGATCCTCCCCACCCCTACCTCTGGCCTGTAACCACTTGCCAGCTCTTGTATGCATAAATAAATAAATCTTAAAAAAAAAAAAAAGAAACTTAACCCAAGGTCATACCACTTATAAGAGGCAAAGGCAGGAATGGAGTCTATTGCAGTGGTCTAGCCTCTGGCCTCTCTATTGTGGTGATCTCAGTGTGAAATACTCCTGGGCACCATAATGAGGCAGAAATCAGACAGGGCAGGGAAGAAAGTGCACCAGGGCAGATGTTTGCTTCATTTTTTTTTTTTTTTTGAGATTTATTTATTTATTTATACAAGCACTGGGTTCAGTCAAAAGCGTGGGAGGGTAAGAGAATTCACCAGAGCCAGAGTGGGGAACAGAACAGGCAGAAGGACGAAATACACTGCTGAGGGGAGCAGCAGGCAGCAGGAGAGGTCTGCAAACCATGTGGGACCCTCGCCGGTGGCCAGGGATCGAACCGGTGCTACAGAGGCTGCGGGCAGCTTCGCAACCCAGCGCTCAACCACTGCACCACCAGAGGAGGCCCTGATTCATTTTCATTTGAATTTAGAGTGCTAGTTCTCTAAATGCTCTGATCTATGATTCTGTTAAGTAGACTGGAGTGAGACAAGACTGAAAAACCATGTATAGGCTCTTTAGCTTCTCTACCCTAAGCCTCCATATAGAAATTGCTCTTTGGGAGCAATGGAGTGTTGGGTTGTATTTATTTGATTTATTAGGTATCTGTCATGAAACACTGCATTTAATGGGCACATGAAGTCTTCATAGCATGTCATTAGTTCATAACTTCAGAAAGTTAGAAGGGACTTAAGAAGACACTCCTGGACAGTTGACATACTTCCCAAGATGGCAAAGTCTTGATTTCTCAATGAGAAAGTGTACATCTTGGTCTGTCCCTTCCTTTTTTTTTTTTTTTTGCTACCTAAGCTCAGTCTAATGATGGGGTAAAGTTTTAAGGGGATTAATTCATACCTCAGACTGGTCAAGAATATTCATTTCTTAGAGACTTAAAACATCTGCCATGGGGCCTCCCCGGTGGCACAGCGGTTGAGCACTGGGCTGTGAAGCTGCCCGCAGCCTCTGCAGTGCCGGTTTGATCCGCAGCCACCGGGTGAGGGTCCCACGTGGCGCGCAGACCTCTCCTGCCGCGCACTGCTCCCCTCAGCAGTGTATTTCATCAGTCTGCCTGCTCTGCTCTCCCCTCTGGCTCTGGTGAATTCTCTTCCCCTCCCGCACTTCTGACTGTACCCAGTGCTTGTATAAATAAATAAATAAATCTTTAAAAAAAAAAAAGGCAATCACTTTCTTAAAAAAAAAAATCTGCCATGTTCTTTATGATTAAGAAAATAAACCTTGCAGCAGGTATTTGTCATGTAAATTTCTTACTGTAATTTCCTAGGAGAGTGAAAATGTGGGTTTTGCTTAGGCCCTGCAAATGATATTAGCAGCTGGGATGGATACTTTGTTCTAGGTTTGAGCCTTCATCCATAGAGCCATAGTCTCATATTGATGAGATTTCTTGTTTGTCTCTTCTTCCAGCAGGGCTATATAACAACACCAAATTCCCCCTCTCTGAAGTCACGTTCCATCACACTGGGGACATCCCTGTCCCTCAGCAACATTTCAGGGGTTTCTATGAAGTCAGACATGAAGAAGCGACGAGCTCCGCTGCCTCCCTTGCTGTCCAGTGCAGGCACACCTGTGCAGGACAGAGCATCAGAAAAGGTAGGTAGAGGGCAGCTCTCTTGATCAGTGTGACTCTTTTTTTAAAATTAGTTAATTTTTAACTGAGTAGTACTGGGATACCTCCTTCAGGTATTACCAACATAGTGTACCCAATACCAACTTACCTATAGTCTACCACCATAGTCCATTGTGCTTCCTTCCCTCTTTGTTCTTAGCCCTTCCCCCACATATCTCCCCCTTGATGCTTCAGTTCTGTAGTCAGCTATCAAGGGTTAGTTTTTCAGCTTATCTTTATGTGACTATCAATTTAGTTACTTTATACTCCACATATTAGTGATCCCATTTGGTATTTATCTTTCTCCTTCTTACTTAGTTCACTTAGCAATATTCTTTCAAGCTTTATCCATATTGCTGCAAATGGCATGAATTTTTCTTTTTTGATCACTGAATGGTATTCCATTGTGTGTATACCCCATATCTTCTTAATCCACTCATCTGTTCTGGGGTACATAGGTTGTTTCCATAATTTAGATATAGTAAATAGCATGTTAATAAACATGATTTCATTTCATATTAGTGTTTTTGAATTTTTTTGATCGATACCTAGGAGTGGAATTATTAGGTCAAGTGAAGATCCACTTTTAATATTTTGAGACACCGTCACACTGACCAGTGTGCCTTTTACGTAAACCAGTTAATTCTCTGAAAGTTCCCTGTGGACAATATAATCCTTCAAGCTTGTGGCTTCAGTGGCTAGAGTGTAGGATGAATATTGAAGCTTTATTTATCAATAGAAGTCAAGGTTGGCTGTCATTTTGTTTCCATCATGGAAGGGAGGAAACTATTTTTGTGCCTCTAGCCTTATTTCTATGTAAAGTGATTAACATTTACATTATTTTTAGCATTGAAATTGTGGGCATCGTGATTACTTAATGAGGAAATTATATAGTTAAGAACTTTAAGAAATACGAAGTTTGTACAGAATAGGAGTGATAGATAATATATAGATGCCCCAAATTCAGATTCACATGAAAACTGAGAACACTTTGCATATTATGTTGCTTTCTTGTGACATAGCATTTATTTGGGGAGAACCTTTGATTTCAGAAGTCTCCTCTTTTATGTTTATCTTTGAGCAACTTGATGCCTTTCTAAGTCATGACCTGTTCATTGCTCCTTATCCTTGGCATCTGGTGTCCCCATTCTGGTTCCTCTCCTCTCTTTATTCACAGGTACCTTGAAACATTATTTAAAATAGCCAACCTTCACTTTTTTCCTACTACTCTTTGATAGTAACTTCTCTTTTCCTGACTTCAAATGTGACGCTTTCAAAATGTCAACTTTTGGTTTCTAAAACCCATCCTTATTTGAGCTAAGTGTGGCAGGGACACCACCCAAGAGTGACCAGGATGTAGTCCTACTTTGAATTCGTCTGGAAATGGAGTTCTCCAGGGCATTCCAGGCTGAGCCAGCCTGCACCATATGTGTTCTGAGAGACTGGGGAAGCCTTTGATGTAAAGTCTAGATGCATTATTTTTCATTAAGCTGAGATATTTCTCATTGACTTGTATCCCAGCTTTCCAAGGACATTTCCATACTGCAAACATGAGTGTTTACAACATTTTAAACTCATTTATCCTTTTTCAGGAGTTAACTTTGCTGACTCTTTGCTCTAGTGTTACCTGAGCTGTTGCTGCTTCACAATGCTCAATAACATCACATTCCCACTAGACTTAGGTTTAAACCCTTTTTAGTTCTTTCATAAACTAATGGGCTTTTCCTTAAAACAAACAAGAAACTAAGTCTGTCCCCACAGTGCAGACTTGACCCCCTGCATGATGGCTAGAAATTCCCTTTGTGATTTTCTGTAGTGGCATGGTCACATCTTTCTTACTTCCTTGTCTTGGTTGTCTGTCCATGTATCAGGTCGTCTGTCTATTTTTCTTTATAAATAAGTCATCTTTTTCTGGCCTGCAGGGGTATTCTTTATCCCCAGAGATAGACCTAAAAGACCACCCTGTTCCCAGTCTACACACCATTCTACTCAAGCTTCTAAAACTGTGAATGAAAAGCCTGTAGTGTAGCAACACATTTTAGAGGGAAATTGTTGATTTTTGTATTTCTCAATATTTTCATAGTGCTGCTAATTTAATTTTTCATAGTATTTTAGATGTCTTTTGAGCAAAAGGAATTTAGTCACAAAAGTGAATAATTTTATTGTAGGCTTGAATGATTGAACATGAAGCTGCTTCCTGTAATTGTCTACAGTGAACCTCCTTATTTTGATTGGTTGTAGACTCTGAACCTTTTCAGAACACACAAAGCAAAATTTATACATATACCACCCTTCAACTATTTATCCCTGGGAATGTCTTTCTGCTTTTGATTGAAAGGGTTATTTCTTTAGCTATGAAAACTGTAAATGCCAGTGTCTGTATTTTTGACTACAAATTATTTTCCTAATTTCATAGAACACAGATCCTAAATTGCATTAGCTTTTAAAAAATTTCTTTCATTTAGAAAAGATGCTATGTTTTTCTGGTTTTATTATGTGTACCCATGATGTATAAAGTCTACTTGAGTGAGAAAATGTACAGTAAGTAGAGAACTGGGAATTCTGAATGAAAAGTAGTGTTGAATCAAGGGACTTCCCCCTGAGGCAGTAAAAGCCTTTTACTGAAACCTATTTGGCAAAGAAAAAGTGGATAAAATGCCTCATATTCTTTTTAAAGCATGTAAACAGCATATGGACAAGATTTTAACATTTACTATGAGCTTGCTTTTTTTTTTTTTTTGAATGAAAGGTATTTTGTTATTTACTGATTTCTTGGAAAGGCACCCAAAAAATGTATTTTCGTCATCACTGGGGAAGAACGTCAGTTCCTTCTCCATGAACTTCCTTCCACATAAAGATAAGATGTTTGTTAGGAAAGCCTTATTTATATGTAACTGTTACTAACACCAGTGTTCTGAATGAGAAGGCAGGGCTTAATTTCAAGGACATGACTAGTTTGTAAGAAAATGAGAATGCTTAAGTTTTTATAATTTAAAGACTTTTTTCTTATCAACTAGTACTAAAAATGTAGTATTTAGTGAGAGGCAGAATAATTTCAACCATCTTCCAGTTTTTTTGAAACTTCTTTTTAAAATGTAATGTTTATGTCAGTATTTGTTACCTGATTATAATACTCATAATTTGATCACTTGTATATTGTATTTCTAAAAGAACTTATCAAAGATATTTCTAATGAAAGAAACAAAAGGTGTCTTTCCTCGTATCTCAAATGTAGTTTTAATTATGTGGAACATTCACACAGAATGGTATATATGGTCTGGTCCACATGCTAAGTCAGTGTTTTCAAACTTGGATATGAGAACCATCCTAGAGGAGTTGCTGGAACACACCTTCCCTGGTTCTCACCCCAGGGTGTCTGATTCAGTAGGTCAGGGATGAGCCCTACCAATCTGAACTTCAGCAGGTTCCAGGTGACCTGCTGTGGTGAATGACACTTCAAGAGCCACATCTCCATACATTGCTCTGACCCTGATCCACTTGCTCAGAAGTCTGACTACTGCTCAAATATGGGAAGAAGCACCACTCAGTGTAAATAGTTTTAATGCATATGGAAAGATTCAGAAAAGTTATCTGGAAATAGATAAATTTATGCTATGGGATAATAATTATATCCAGTTTGCTATAGAGTTAGCTGATGCCTGAGTCTGTGTTAAAATAAATAACAATAGCTCTCACTTCTTTTCATTGGAAACCTGGATACTCATGTTGAGAGCCAAAGGAGTTATCTGTTTTGGTTGGAATCTTTCTTCCAGTACCATCAGTGAGATTTTTGCTGCCCTTAAGAGCTACTCCATGCTGAGATGACCTCTTGCCTTTTCTTGCTTGTTGTCCTGTGTTGAGTCAGAGCTCCCTTGTCTACCAAATCTTAACAACTAATCCCCAAGGAAACATAACTCAACTGTGCAGGTTATTCCACTTGGATTGTTCATGGCTCAGTACAGGCATTTGGGTTGTGCTTAGGGGCTGTGGGCACAGGTACCTGGGTGTGACTCCCTTCACTCACTTTCTAGTCCTAAAGTTCTTCCTCTGCAAAATGTGAGCAATCAAAGCAGCTTTTTCAAGTTCATAGTGTAGGAATCAGAGACTGACCCTGATGTAGATCCCCACTCTGTCATTCCTCAGAATGTGACCTTGGCAAGTTACTCATCTCCTGTATCTCATTTCCTTAGGCTCAAACTGCCCAGCAGAGTAAAGATGAGAAATAGCACTTGGGGGACGGAGATGACAATGTGCCTGAGGTAGGGAGGCTGGTATGCTCTAGCCAGGGCCCTGCAGCAATCAAATGGCAGATTATATTTAAAAGTGAAACTCTGTTGTTAAAAATACCAGATGTATAATACAAAATTACCAGGTCCCTGTAACAGGTTCATTCTTTTAAACAATGACAAATATTTATTGAAGTGGCATTTTATCTTTATGGCTACAAAACTGTGAGCATCCTACCAACTAATCCATGCCTGCTGAGTAGTGGGGGAGCCTTTGAGAATAATGAGAGTAGAATGTTTTCAAGTCATCTTTATTTGGCTGACTGACACTTCCCATTAATCACATGTGCTGATGCTCCTACACTTTGCTGGTGACATGGCAGAAAACTTCACTTTTTAATCTGTCATTTGATTAAAAATAAGTATCTTTGGAAATTTCCTGGACAATGCTGTTGTCAAATTTTAGCTATTTTTATCTACAAACATAGGCTAAACAGCTGATCATTTTTTTATCCAGTCAATATACATTCAAATATACCTGCTTTGTGCTGATGACAACAGAAACCTTTTTTTATTGTGAAAAAAGCAATTTGAAAAATATTTTAGTTATTTAGCTTTGTTTTATAGTATTTGAATTACTGCATTCATTATGTTCAACATTAAATTTCAGTAGGACAAGCACATTGCTATGTTTTCTCAAATATTACTTTGGGAGTAAAATGACAAGTGATGGTAGCCATTAAAATGAAAGATGGGAC